TTGGCTGTTGGCGTAGAGCTGCCCATGTCCTGTGAGCCCCCTGCTGGCCCTTTGCAAACTGAAGGGAGGTTACTACAGGGGGTCACAATGAATTTTCCTCACTGTGTCTCTTGCACAGCAGTACATGGCTGTGTCCTCAGATCTCAGACTGTTCATTTGGATATTCAGCATGTTTTTGGAATTGTCTCTGGAGATGGTGAATCAGCCCTTCACAGAGTCTGGGCAGCATTGCTCACTCCTGTCATATTTTATACTTGCCACCCAGTCCAGCCCCTTCCCTGGAGCCTGGCAGACCCAGTTCGTCCAGTTGTTACTGGTGAATCCAGAGGCTACAGAGGAGTCTCAGGGAATGCACAGGTTTCATCAAGCCTCCCCCAGACTCTGCGAGCTGCACCTCACAGTGGACACCTGACCACACAGAGAATAGGGAGATGGTCATACATGTCCACTATCCCTCTCACTCTCATCCACTCACACACTCTGTATATCTAGCTCTCCATAAACTACCGTTTAAAAGAACAAGGAAAACCCAGCTCATTCCCAACTCCATGGTGAGTCTGTGTTCAGTGCTAATCACTGAATGGGAACACCTGGGATTCCAGGGCTGGGCTCCTCTGCCAGAGCTGCCTGTGAAGGCTGGGCTGGTTTCCATGCTTAGAGGGAGCCCTATTTGCATGTCTTCCTGCTATTTAGTAGTAGCTGGGGTTGGATGCTCTGAAGAAGACAATGATCAGAGCAGATAGAATGTGATTGTATCTGGGGACACTGATGCGATTTATAGACTAATAGATGATGTGATAACTTAGTATGTGTTTGTTCCTTGTTAAAGATTCACCATGCCTCATTCTTTTAACTTTTGTGTGTGCAAAGAACATGAATTATATGTCATATTATGATGTTCTTTTTTGTTTTTTTAATATTTTTATTATCTTTATTTTATGTGTATGAGTATATTGCCTGCATGTATGTGAGTGCACCCGTGCCATGCAATGCCATGGAGGTCAGAAGAGGGCTTCAAATTCCCCTGGAATTGGAGTTAAGGACAGTTTGTAGCTGCCATGTGAACCCAGGTCCTCTGCAAAAGAAGTCAGTGCTCTTAACCACTGAGCCATCTCGCCAGCCGCTTGGTCTGTTTTTATAAAGCTGTGAAATTTTAAAAAAACTGTCACACGCAGTCATGTTTCTATATAGATGCTCAAGTTTAATGTGTCTTCCCCATTGCTAGGGCCTGTGAACTTTTGCTTAGGACAGGTGTCACCAGAAACAACTTTGGGTCAAAGTCACACATGCCTGGCAAAGTTCAGAGAGGGGAACACTTTTGACTTTGGTTCATTTTTGTGATTTCTGAAAGATAAATTGTAACAAACATACTGATTTTGACATCAAATGACTGTACATTTCTAGTAGTGCCACATTTGATGAGCACTGGTAAACATGGACCTTTGTCCCACCATTTGCACAAAGAACACACATGCTTCCCTGAAGATCTCCCACATTTTGTGAGGTGATGTTCCATCGTGGCTTTCATTTTTACTCTCTGTGATTAGAAGCTTTGGCTTTTAGCTGTGGCTTTGTTGATTTGCATCTCTGTCTAGATGAATACCCCTCCTTTTCTACCTGCTTGTAAAGAAGATTATTAATATCCTTATTATATGGTTACTTGAGTTCTTTAATTTAGACATTAAGATATGAATTAGGATGAGTTATTGTCAGTATGTAATACGTGACACACAATAATGGCCAGCAATCTCTGCACTCTGACTTCACACTGGAGAGACAGAAAGCCCATTAACTTTCAGCTTCACTAGATGCTATCCATCACAGCAACTTAAAGGGCCATTATTTCAGCATCTAATTAGCCAGTTGATTTGACTCTCTCAGCCTTGTCATCCATGATGGGTTTTACTGTAACAATTTCCAGAGAGGTCCTGGGATCTGATCTGAAAACTCTGTGATTTCTAGGTTCCTTATACTGATGATTTATTAATACTGAGCTTACTGCCAATGTTATTCATATTTTTGGCTAGAGAAAAGCTGCTGTCTATCACATATTTTTCTCTGTAAGTAGTAGAAACAAGAAAAACCTTCTGACAGTTATGATATGCTGGTGATGTGCATGGTGTGACTTCAGTTTTCAGGTGGTGAATGTTAAAAACAACCATAAGAGGTTTCAAATAATTACCATTTATGCAAATTTTCAAAGATGTAGTGTGGAAACAAATTGAATCATCTTGTACCTCACAGTGGGAGACAGTTACATTACAATTCTCAAGCAGTGGACTTTCGTGTCTTCATATAATTATTGTGATGCCTAATTAATCTGAAAAGCAGTCACTTCTTTTATGAGCATGCACTAGGCCAATTTAAATATTTTCAGGTTGTGGAGACTCCTGTGTAGAGTCCCCGGGAGTCTGTACCACAGACATCTTGGAAAGGATGTTGCTCTTCAGTTCTATGTGGAGCCCTTGGATGGAGGGAAAACAAGTGTTCAGAAAGTCACATCATTAGAATCTGACACAAGAACGATTCCCTGGATGAATCCTGGGCAGAAAGTGGAAATCGCATACTCAAAACCAAAACCAAAACCAGGCCACCTCTGCAAATGGGGCTGAGCCAGAGACCCGAGTGCCCCTGCTAGTCCTGAGCTCTGTGCAGAGTTTTGTATCTGGGCTCAGCCTGAACTCCTCTCACTGTTATAGCACAGTAATATGTCTTTTCCTTCAGTCCTCTAACTGTTCAGTATTACAGACACTTGGGTCTTAGGATTGTCTCTGTTCATGTTGATTGGGTTTTAGGCCTGTATTGTAAGCCTTACTGTCATCAGTCTACATCGTAACAGAACTTTTTCTGGAGGCTGGCAGGTCCAGCTTACATGATGTCCAGTTACAGAGAATCCAGAGACAGTGCAGGTGAGGGGCAGTGACTTCCAGTGCTCCCACAGACCAGGTCCTTCACCTGGGAGAGAACATCACCATCAGTGTTCACAAGAACCGCCTACCAGGATCCTCCTCTTGAATCCTCTGAGCAACTCACTGCAGGGACCAACCACTAGACAGAGGAGCAGCCCCAGGACAGTCATGCTGTGATAAAGCTCCTTTGAGAAGATGAGACTTCTCAGCCAGGACTGGGCTTTCAGCCAGTGACTGGAGGCTGGTTTACCTGGTGGAAGTTCCGGAGGAGACACAGAGGAACAGAGGGCAAGGTCTCTATAGGTCCCTCCAAGTGACTGTGATTTGCACTGTGCTGCTTAGAGGAAGGGAGGCAGGATCTTCAGGATCACTTCCTGGTTATCCTGACTCCAGAAAAACAGGAATTTCTGTGAGTTCAAACCTTGGGGGAAACATTTATACTGAGTCGACATTCATGCAGTGGAAGCAGAAGAGGCTAGGACACTCAGTGCATTTGCCCATGTCTGTAAATTCCAGCACAGGTTTAGGATAGAATACAGTGCTATGCTCCACGTGGGACTTCTGGTAATGGGTTCTGTTTTTAAGGGACAGTGACCATCACTTTTCCTGATGTCAACAGAGTCCATTTTATTCTTCTTCCTCATGTAGAAAATATAACTTGGGCGAAGCACCTCACACTCATTTAGCACAGGTGATTTCACATATTTCTCTGAGACCACATCTGAGGTATCCATTTGACTCTCATCTCGCTAGGTTCAGACCATTCACATGCTAACCCTATGACAATATACTTTGGGACTAGTCTTCGGTGTCTCAGGATTTCTGTCTGTCCCTTTCTCTTAGTCTCTATATTTTTATCTGTTTTGTTCTGCCTCTTATACCTATAATAAAAACAGATTTTAAATGTGTTGATTGTATTGGTGAGGGATAGGGAAGGTCCATTGTTTATAAAGCCACAAAATTAACTGTAACATGCAACCAGGATTGATGGTCAGCATTTTATGCTAACTGAAATAATAGCCAAAATAATTCAGAGAAAGTAAACAAATGTTATCACAACAATCTAAGAAGCTTCTGCACAGCAAAGGTTGGAACAGAAAACCGAAGAGCTGGCCAACAGAGGAAAGAACGGTGGGGACCGACAAAGAGCCCTGCAGTCTAATTAAAATCGGACAATTATTTTGAATAAACACAACTCCACTGAACATATAAAAGGTCGATATAAGAATACGGAACAATCTCTCAAAATTACCAATTGTCAGAAAAATGGAGATGAACCAGGTTCAGCTCTCATCTCCCAGCAGTAAGACTACCCACTACAGACACATGAAAATAAAAAATGCTGGATATGGAAAAAAGATATGGAAAATGGATCCTTCTTAGATTCATTGGCATGAAGGTGAGTTAGTGCTGTCGATTTGGAAAACAGCATTGAGGGTCACTAAAAATTATGAACACATGTACCATGTCATCCAGCAATCCCATTAGTGAATGAATTTAAACCAATGAAATTAAACCTGCCCATGCAACGACACACTCATTCCATGTTTAGCAACAGTCATTCAGCATGAGGTGGAGTACGAAGATACTGGGTACAAGCACAGGAATTTTTAGCATCCTGCGTTTCAGGACTATTAACTACAGCAACATGCTGTATATTTCAAAATAATTGGAACAGAAGATTTCATAGATCTGAAAGATATGATAAATAGTTAACTATATGTTTTTGCTATTTATGTTGATCCTTTGCATGTATATTAAATTATAGTATACTTTCTGCTAAATATGACAGTTCATTTCAATACTAAAATTGTAACCTATGTGTTTGATGGGATGCCATTTAAGAGAAGTCAGAAATTCAAACCCATTTTAATATAAGCATCAACAGAGTAAAATACAGTATTCATCATTCAAGTAAGGTAATTTATGTTTAAATTTCAGACTAGCCCTCCGTGTCTGTTTTCCTCTGCATCTGCCGTTGACCTAGATCTCCCAATGTTATGTGTGCCCTCTGGTGGTCCTGAACACCCTGCAAGGAGGTTTGTGTATAGTATCAAAATAAACTTTCTTCACTCTTTCTTCAAACTTTCTTCAAACTTTCCTCTGTGTCTCTTTTGCACAGTAATACGTGGCTGTGTCATCAGCTCTCAGGTGGCTCATTTGCAGGTACAGAATGTTCCTGGAGTTGTCTCTGGAGATAGTGAATCTGCCCTTCACAGATTCTGCATAGTGCTTCTCACTTCCATCATATTTTATAACAGCCAACCACTCCAGCCCCTTTCCTGGAGCCTGGCAGATCCAATTCATCCAGTAATCACTAAAGGTGAACCCAGAGGCTGTGCAGGAAAGTCTCAAGGACCCCCCAGGTTGCACCACACCTCCCCCAGACTCCATCAGCTTCATCTCACATTTGATACCTGCAAACACAGAGAATGCTGGTCAGGAAACTGTTACACATGCCCACTTCTAGTCATAAGATCTGATATGAGAGACATTGGGGACATTGATGACCGTAGAATTCCATATGCTATGATAGCTTAGTGAACTTGCTCCTTATTAAAGATTGGCCGTGCATCATTTATTCCACATTTGTAAGGTGTTGTCAGAACATGAACTATGTGATGTACAGTGATCCCCTTTGTAAAAGTCTGAAGTTACGAAGTGTCACCAGCAGTCATGTTTCCTCACAGACTCTTTGTTCTGAATAATAATTTCACGTATTGAATTGTTTCAGTTATTTCTTTAACTGTTTGTGTTTTCACGGTCTTCATTCTGTCTTTTATCCACAACAACTCTTTGAGTTTCTTGACCATATTCATAATTGCTGTTTTGATATCACTGTAATATGCATCACATAAGTTGATTTTCTCAGGAAACCTTATGACGTGGGGATCAGTTTCTAGAGTAGTTATATTGTCTTGGTTAATCACGTTGCTTGTTCTTTGTGATGGGACATTGGGCTCTAGAGCTCTTTCACGTGTGATATCTCTTGTTTGAATATCTTATCTGGTCTTTGTTGAGTGGGTGTTTGTGACTTTGTTGTTACCTCACTTATCAGGTTGTTACCCAGTTAAGAGGTGATGGTGTTAAGTCTAGGGGCCACTCTCTGTTGGCATGTGAATGTTGGGGTAAGAATTTGTCTCAGTTCAGCGAGGGTTAAGTGTGCTTCTCAGACTCAAGTTCTAGGATAGTCCCTACAGGGTCCTGGAGTGGCAGGGTGTGATGTATGGCTATTAGGTGAGCAGGCAGTCAGACAGGTCAGTGCTGATTTTGATTGGAGGGGAAGAGGTGACTCCAATTTTGTACTAACCAAGAAAATGTGTAACTGTAAAACTTGCCTGACTATCTGTGCTTATGTACAGGCTGACGAACTCTGGCTAGTTTGAGGTCACGTAGACATTCAGAAACTGAACAAAACTCTTAACGAAGCAGAGTCCCAAACACAGTAGATCCTTTCAAACTAGAAATGTGGATACTTCAGTTTGCCAATATCACTCAGCAATTACATACGTATGTGTGCATGTCGCTCAGTGAATGGATTTCTTCACTACCCACCAGAATTACTCATGAATGGACATAATTTTTTATATATTGTGAAAGGTACTGTTTTTCTCACACAAATCACTCAATGAAAGTACTTTTTCCGTTAATAATGAGGGGACTGTGGAAAACACAGAATTATTTTTCCTTCATAGGAAGAGTTGTGCTGTGTGAGGACAACATGAGGAAGTCCATGTGGGCAGACCCAGGGCTGTAGGTTAGAGAGCTACCTTGGTCAGGATAGATAGGAGCATCATTCTATCACAGAATGACAGTGATAAAAATGGGCCACAAGGACAAGACTCAGAGAAAGCTGAACTCTCAAAAGAGAGAATATTAGGTTGTCTGGTCTGCAAATTTCCCCATATCAACAAAGGATGGAGGTGACTCCAGTACAGGTTGATCAGAACAAGCAGAGACCTTCATACCCAGCACGATGTGACTGACATTCTTATACCCATATTAATCAAACATACTCTTATTCCCTAAAGAGTCCATTCAAAAGAGACAACTGAAGAGCTGAACAGTGAAGACTGAGTCCATTACTCTAGGGTTTCCCAGTCCCCTGAGTAAGACAAGACCAGACCAACAGCCGATCTGTTGGGATCAGATTTGTGTTCCTGATTGATCAAGAAAACAAGAGAAATGGTGATGTAACTTACAGAGTGAGAAAATAAATCACCCCAAACACAAAAGGATCAGATCTTATTCTGAAGTACACAGGAGGCAAAAAGAGAAAAAGTTTGATCCCTATTAGTGATTACAGGTCACTGACCCTTGTCCTACATCCTTCTCGGTTCCCCTTGAGTCTCAGAGTGTCCGAATCAGTGCATCTCAGTAAGACTCTGCTCTGTGTATCATGATGGAAAAATCTCTCCAGGCTCCTAGGGTTCCTTCAGCATCTGATTCTGGTGATCAGTGAGAACCATTTCTGTTCTCCTAGGTGATCTCTACATTTTATTCATGTGAGGTGTATGATATTATTAAAATTTTACATACCCAAACAGAAGTATTCATATTCTGAGACATTAAAGATTCCTACAGACGTTTTCTATACCAAGACTTCTGGACACCATCAGATGGAGAGGCAGCTCAGAAAGAAGAGCTGTTGTGGTTACCTGTGTGCTGAGCACCCCCTGCTGGTCAGTAACACATCGAAGGGAGGTTTTTACCTGGGCCCACAGTGATTTTTCTTCACTGTGCCTCCTGTACAGTAATAGGTGGCCGTGTCCTCAGTTTTCAGGCTGCTCATTTGCAGGGAGGCACTGCTTTGGGAATCATCTCTTGAGATAGTGAATCTGCCGGTCACAGATGCCGCGTAATATGTTGCATAACTATTAGCTTTGTTTCTTATTTGAGCAACCCATTCCAGCCCTTTCCCTGGGGCCTGGCGGACCCAGTTCACGTAGTAATCACTGAAGGTGAATCCAGAGGTTGCACAGGAGAGTCTCAGGGACCCACCAGGCTGTACCAAGCCTCCACCGGAGTCCACAATCTTAACTCCACACTGGATGCCTACAAACACAGAAAATTTTGGTCAGGAAACTATCACATGCCACTGTCCTCTCATGCCCCCTCCCTCTAGTATCTCTTGTTCTTCCAAAAGTACCTTTTAAAAGAGCTGCAAGGAAAACCCATCTCAGCCACAACTGCATGGTTAGTCTGTGTTCAGTGCTGGTCACTGAATGGGAACACGTCAGAATCCAGGGCTGAGCTGGTCTGCCTGGGCTGCAGGGTCAGGGATGGGACAGTTTTTATGAGCAAAAGGAGGCCTTATTTGCATGTTTCCCTGCTACATAGAAAGCTAAGGGCAGAAGCTTTACAGATGATAGTGCCATAGGAAGGATCACACGCCCATGGCAGTGTGGTCATGGTCATTATATTCAAGAAAATATACCATTTTAGCCGCAAGTGGTGAAGCACTCCTATATTAATACTTAGGATATTTTGAAAAGAGAATCGTGAGCTAAATTTAATTTGGCAAAGCATTTCATAACATCATTGCAGCCTAAGGGCAGAGTCGTCTGTGAAGACCGCAGCAGTCACAGAAGTAGCCTAGGCTGTCGAATGACCTTACTACAGACGAAGTTAGTCATCCTGACCTTCAGTTCTCTATGGAGCACGAGACGGTACTTATAAACCTCACAGTATTCAATTTCAAAATTCAAGAATATTCACAATGTGTATTATTAAATTAGCAAATAACCATTTTATTTCTTCAAACATTAATTATTTGTATGTTTTTCTGTAATATAAAAATACAGTGTAGATTGTTTCTAACCCTAAATACCTTAATTTGCTACAGCAGAATCAGAAGTAATTCTTATATAACTACGTTCTGTTGCGTTTCCTACCCATTTCATTCCTCCCTCCCCCTCTCTTCCAGGCTTTGGTGGTGAATATTACATCCATCCTTCTGTAAGTGGGACATAACTCATTTCCCCAATGACTAAGGACACATGCCATTTCTCTGTATGGGTCTGACTTTCTTCATTGAAATCAAGGATATCAGTTACTCTTCTGTTTCTGGAGAGGTCAGGAATCCATTCATCTCAATAACATTATGGTTTTCCACTCTGTATACGGGCCACCTTTATTGTCAATGCAACTGTTCCAATACATCAGGGTTTATTCCGTACTTAGGCCATTGTAAATTTTGTCCCAGTAAATGAATCTTATATACAGAAAACCTATAAAGAGTTTAGAAGTAATACATGGAATCACTTTTTCTGAGACAAACTCTCCCTCTGACTGGTCCCATGCTTAAGCTTTGTCCTTCTCAAGGGTGACGTTCATGGGGTCCATTCAATGTATAGTCTATAGCTGGCCAGAGGGAAAAGGTGTACAATATCTTTTTGTTTTAACAAAGTCAAAATGTACAAGATGGATCTTAATCCTGTCCACCCCTTACTCCCTCTATCCAGCTTCTCCCGACTCCATAGCTTATCTCCAATCTCTTTCCCCATGTCTTTTTAACTATTTTATGACACACTAAGTCCAATTTGTGCTGGCCATGTACACATAGGTACAGAGTCATCCACTGGGACAATGTTATCTACAGATTCTCCATTTACCGTGGCAGAAAAGTAACTAACTTTTCCTCAGCAAACATTAATTTCCCTTAGCTGCTCAGAGAAGTGCGGTGCATGAAAAGTCCATCCATCCATCCATTCTGGGGTGTTGCACTCTAGACCTTTAACAGGTCTTAGAAAGATAGCCACAGCTACTGTGAGTTCATGTCATGTTCAGTGGCAGTCCTTGCACAGCACTTCTCATCCAACAGCTCTTCCTTCCTTTCTACCCCTCTACATCAATGTTCCCTAAGCTTTTGGCTTTGAAATAGATGTCCCATCTACACCTAAGACTCACAGTAACTTATTCTAGCATTTGAACAGTATGAGTCTCTGTATTAACCAGTGGCATAGGAAGATTCCTTCCAGGATGGTTCCATGTCCCAGCTCATTGTTTTTATACCTCAGTTTTGATGTATAATATAAATGTATCAGAAACAAATTCCATAAATAGAATACATATAAGAACCAAGGTTAGAAAACATTCAGTTAGTGTCAGGTAACTATGCATATAAACAAATACTCCATATTTTTCTGGCTTTGGTTACATCTGGAAGGGATGGAAGAAGTGAATTCAATAATGGTTTGGGGTAGAGACAGGGTCTCACTGTGAAGCCTAGTCTGGTCTCAGACTCATGATCATCCTGCATCAACTTTTCAAGTGTTGGCATTACAGGCAACATCATGATGCCCAGTGTGACGTTAAATGTCTCCTTATTCTCACTTATTTCAGTCTTGGCGCTGAGCACATAGAATGGTGCCACTCGTGTCTAGGGTGAGTTTTCCTCATCAGGTAAAACTCTCTGAAAATGTCGTTGTAGATTATCATAGAGATGTATTCCCTACCTGATTCTAAAATCCAGACATGTTCAAAACAACTATTAGCCATCACATGTTTTAGCTCCTCAGTTTTATGCCCAAACACATCACTTTCAAATCTTAATATTCTTCATATCATACTCAAAGGCGCTGACCATCACATAACACAAAATGCATTTAGTTCATCATCCAGAATCACTAGACTTAACTGTTCTAACATTGCTTAGAAACCCAAAATGTAAAGCTCTTCAAGGTCTAAAAGCAATCAATCTTAATTTTATAAAGTTATATCCCTCCAATATATTTGGCACAGTGCAAACACTCCATCTTAAAAGTTGTAAAGGAGGCATAATAAGGAGCTATAGGACCAAAACAAGTCTGCAGCTCCATGTCTGGCATCTGGTGTTCTTGGTTGCACTAACTGGGATGACATGGAAACGGGTGGCTACCTTTCCTCTTGTCTCATCAGCAACTAGCCCATTCACCCTGCAATGACAGGTCCTCTTGGTGGATGTCTCAGAGTCTTGGCATCTCCAAAATTCTGGAGTCTCATCACTACCTAGGCCTGACCTTCATGGGTTCTTGCAATGGTCTCTCGTATAGCTATGTTGACATGTTCAACTCTCTGACTGAGTTGTAGCCTTGGCTTCATTGGACCAGAGCCACAGCTCTCTGCCTTAGAAGCTGATAAAGGAGAAAACACTGCTTAGATGGTCATGTTGGGGCAGGAAATACCTGTATTGTTCTCATTTTGGAATCTTTCCTTCCAACTGAATTTTCATTTTTATAAGTTGAACCTTTAGATGAAGTCTTGTCCTCTTGGCATATCTGTAACAAGCCACAGTCACCTGTTGCCAGTGCTCTGGGTAATCTATCTGCAACTTCAAACACTTTCCTCATCAAATTGCATATATTTCATATCTTCCCAATTTGCTTCTCACCATAAACCTTGATAAACACAGTGAGTGAAAATCAAGGCACAGTCTCAGTGTTTGCTCTCGTGAAATTTCCTCTACCACACATCTTAGGTCATTACTTTTGAATTTAGCCTTACTCAGATTTTTAGAACATGAACAAAACGTCCAAATTTTGGAATAAAATGTACTGTGAATACTCTTTAGTTCAGTTCGTGGCTGGGATCACTTTCTTCTGAACCAACATGATGACAGCCCTTCCTGTCTGCAATTCTCTTCCTTTCTTAGCTACCATTCTAGCGGCCATTAAGCTCTGCTTACAAAATTCTAGTGCTTTTCAAACCAACGTCTCCAAACCACTCCACATTCCTCCTGCAGATGTAGCTATGAACTACATGGTTAGATACACACTGCAGGACTCCAAATCCCTGGAACCAGTTGTATATATTAGTTACTTTGCAAATTGCTCTGACCAAATACCTGGCAGTGCAAGTTAAAGGAATAAGGCTGTTTTATCTCACAGTTTGAGTGTGCTGCGTGGTGGGGATGGAATGTTAGACAAAGGGCGAATCTGCTTGCTCACATTTGGATAGACCAGGAGGCAGAAAAAAAATAATGCTGGGCATAAGCTTTATTTCTGCTTTTTCGTGATATAATCAGTCCTTGCCCACAGTTCATTGGATGGTGACATCTCCATTCAGCTTGTGTCTTCTCTCCTCACTTATTCCTCCTGGAAACATCTTATGACCTCTGGGCATATCTCCTTGTGTTTTCTTATGAAGTCAAACTCACATGGACGACTGTCAGGAGTCTGACCCTGTAAAATTAACAGATACCACTCGTGTAGAGGCCACAAGTGTGTTTACAAGCACTCTAGTAGGGCAACAGAAAATCACTTTCACTCACACATGTACTAAAGGACTATTCAAATTCAAATAAGTCCATCAACAAATATCTATTCAAAGAAAATGCAGCATATACGCAAAATTAAATGTCATCTCATGAAAATGAAATGCCCTGGGCCAGATAAGCCACACGAAGACAAAACAATACCAAAGGATCTCACTATGTTTGGGAAGCTAGAAACCTTGATGTAGTTGGAAGAGAAAAGGGAGCAGTGTTCTGCAGAAAAGAGAATGATGTTTGGAGTGGCACAGAGGAGGGAGAAGAGGAGCCATAATTTTGTGGAGAGGAAATAGTTCCCACATTTTGAGAGCAGTTGGCGATTCAAACCCAGTTATGCTTAGGAGAGTAGATAACTCAGTGAAGTTATCTATTTATGCAGATGAAATAAATGTACTCTACCAACAAAGTCACTGAGCTGAGTTGATTTATTGAGTAACATCATAAATATTAAAGCTCAGACTACAATAAGAAAGTAAACCTGTCAGAGGATGAGGAATGTCTTACTTACAGGTAATTGATTTGAACATCCTACATGATCAAGAATAGAGCTGAGAACCTCTGCCTGCATGCCTTTTGGATATTTAACTTGACAAAGAAGACTCAAGTCAACATTGGAGAATGGTTTCTTTATTCAGATATGTTATACTCTTTAAAATGAGTATAATAATTTATGTAAAAAAGCAATGAAATAAGAAAATATCATGTATATAACATGAAAAAAGAGGCCATGAACGTAAAGCAGAGGATGTCCCTGTTACAGAGGCATCAGCTGTTCTGGCTTTGCAGTATGGAATTTCACTCCAAGGGAAGCAGAAGAACAGTTCTGAAATTTATTGTTGTAAAGTCCTGCATATTGAAATTTGGCTATGAAAAATTCATTTTAGATAATAATTTGCAAAATACATTTTTGTACATTTTCCAGCTGAGTTATTTTCATGCAAAGAAGTAGAAGCATAGGATAATTTTGGAATTAAAAAAAAAACTGT